GATAACAAACAAAAATTAAGTGTATTAAAAGGTGTTATTAATGATAAGATAATTTATAAAATGGCCAAAGAATCGATATCAACAGAAGTATTAGTAGATGCATATAAAAAAGATCCTACAAATGGTATCAACTTATTATTGTCAATGAGTGTAAATAATAAAGTTAGAGTTACTTCGAATGTTAAAATTATTGACGCAATTTGTGATAAAATAAAAAATAATTGCAGTTAATATTTTTCAATCTTTTCTTTTATTTCCCAAAAAATCAAGTGCAAGTAATCCATATGAAAACACGATTAAAAAAAAGTTACAGATAACATACGATTCCTATGTAAGTACTTGCAGTGTTACTCTGAAATATTCAAAAGCGCGCGCCTTACGTCTCTACAAAACAAAAATGGCGTCTCGCCATGACCCTGCTAAAACAATGACTTGATCAATACTTTTCGAAATATCTCAACTGTTTCCACGGTTACATATATTTTTTAAGGTGCCATCTGAAAGCTGAGATTATTGTCTATAAAATGCTTACTGTCCCGATTCTTAACTCCTCGGTTACGGTTAGAAATTGGCGATGTTTTCACGTGACTCCATAAGAGGTTGTGTATAATGTGCGAACTTTGAGAGCAAATATCTCCAAATTTTCCACGGTTAGAGGGGTAAATGAGGACACCGTTGGAATCAGCGTGTTTTTATCTACCAATTAAGCTACCTGTGACCTCCTAACTCCTCCCGCTGGAGCCCCCTTAAGCTTATACAATTAATAAAGTTTTGGCATCAAAGGGATGGCTGATGAATTTTTTACTGGAGCAAAAAGTATAACAATATTTGTATGAATTTTAAAAATTATTTTTGTTTTCGAAATACTTTCGTAAATTTTTATTGTTTGGACCATAATCATCATATTTTAGATAAAAATGTATATTACAGCAGTGTGGCGTAAATAAATTTACAACTCTCCTCAACCACGTATAGATGTAAAAAATATAAGCTATTGTATAAAAACTGATTTTTCATGTGTTGAAAAATTTTTTTAATGTTTAAAGCATAAAACAAGTCTTTAAAAAATACATTAAAATTTTTAAAAATTTGTATTTTTGAAGATCCACCTTTTTTTAACGAAAACAAAGTTAACATAGATTTTTAAAGAACAATTTCAATTATCCATCGTATAATCACTCTTTACAATATTTTACAATATTTTATGGAAAATATAAAGTATAAAAAAAGTACTAGATTTCTATGAATAGTCTTAAACTTTTGTACTCACAACTCTGTGTCATAATGTCAACTTGATACTGTAATAGGCAAAAACCTATTTTTTTACCGTTTTCAAATGTTTGTTAGTTTTCAAATTAGTTTTTTTATTTAATTTTTTTAGTTGCAACAAATTAATAACTGAGATGAAAAAAATTGCAAACTGTTTTTAAAAGATGTAGCCAGTTTTTTCTTCAGAAGTTTTCAAGATTTAATCTAAGCAATATTTTTCGTGGCCAAAAGGAGCAAAAAATAGGCCAAAATGTTATTACAGTAACGCGAAGAATTTGTAATGGGAGCATTGACGCTTGGGCATTAACTTTGTAATTACTTATTTTGTATTTTATTTACTGCAAAAACATTAAAAAATTAAATTACCTACATATTATTTCTATAATTTTTTTAGATGGAAAATAAGAATCAGTTATATTTTTTTTATAAATATCTCACTTGGATGTTTACAAGCATTTTAAAAATCACAATAACCTGTTTAAAGATACCTATAATTACTCATAGTCAAATAATTTTGCATTGTTAATAGAAAATCTCTTATATTATAGGGATACAAAAACATGTAATTTTAATGAAGAATTTTAAAAACATCATTTTCAAATAATTCATACTGTACAACAGCAGGTGTTCCTTTTCTTCAGTTTCTTCTTTTTCATTGTGCGTGACTTTTCCAGAGCTTTTCTCTTCTCAACAAAAATATCTGTCAAGTTAAAAATAATATTTATACATTCATAATAAATTTTTTGTCATCAATTTTGAAAATATTAACCTTGTAATTTTTTTCGGCTTCGTGACAACTTCTTCTCATACTCATCCAAAAATGTACTTTTAATTTCTTCGATGCATTTTTTTAGGACCTCTCTTTTCTCGATCGCCTCCTCCTGCTCTTTTTTCTTTTTCCCAAACCTAAATTACAGAAAAACGTGAAAAATGACTGAAATGCTTATTGGTATAGTAAAAAATATTAAAAATTTGTTGACACTAAGGTTCTTCAAGGATTTGATACAGTAATATATTTTTGTAATGAGAATTTTTTAAGTTTTGGATTTTGCTCGATGAAAAACTTACAAGAGAAAAATACGTTACCTGTCCAATGCTTCGTCGATTTTAGAATTGTGTTTTTTCATTTTGTTCTGTTGTAACGTCTTCGCCAACAATAGATCACGCTCGTGCATACGTTTAAGAGCATTGAGCTCATGCTGCTCCTCCCTTTTGGCCATAGCTGCTCGTTTTTCTTCAAAAATTTCCCTCTTAACACCCTCCTCAGCTATTTTCTCCAAAAGCCGTTGCCTTTGAATCTTACTCATGGACTTCAGTCTTTGACTGCTGCGTTTCCATTTGTCAAACAATCCCTGGATTTTCTGCTCCCTACGTTCTTTCAGCTCATTCAGCAGTCTAGCTCTGATTTCTTCCTTTTTCAATCTAAAAAACATACATAAAGTCCGCAAAAAAACATTCCGAATTTGTCCCCAGTTGAAAAAAAAATTTTTTTTGAGGTATAAGATTTTTCCTTTTCAGTGCATGACATTGTGAAAAACATACCCCGATTTTTCTCCGATTTTTAAGATAGCTGTTTTTTTTTGTGGCACACCCTTGAGATGGGGATTATTTGGCTCGCAATTCCACGTAATATGAGGAAAAAATCATGAAAACGAGTTTCAGTGATGGTGACACCGTTTGTCCATGATTAACATATAAAAATTGTATACAGATCTCGAAAGTGCGCCTCAAAAACAAATTTTAATCATAAAAACGGGTGCCAAAAACGAGATATTTTTTGGTCGTTTTATGGAATGATCCAACGACTGCAACCCAGGCAATCCCTACCTTTCAACTTCCTTCAAAGTTAGTTTGCGAGCAACATCCAACATCAGCTTTTCCTTTTGCATGTCATCCCTCTTTTCCAGCTCCCTTTGCATCATCTTTCCATGCATCTTCCTTATATAAGCTCTGTAATCGTTGTACTCCTTCAAAGTGCACTTGACGTCCAGTTCCTCTGTCAAGAGCCCAGCCTCGAAACAAAACATCAAAATAATCACCGAACAAATGCTTATTGAAAATAAAATCAAAAGACTTATCCAACACCTTGATCAGAGTCTCTTGGACAGCAGGGGAGTCAAGGAAAAACCTTGCCAAATGGGGGTCATGCAAGCCATCGTACGGCAGCGATATCTCCCGGTTGTAGGGGTCGCTCATGTCGAAAGGTCTGGCAAGAGCGGTTTCATCTTCAATTTTGTCGCTTAGGTTGACACGCAACGGCTCGCCTAGCTTGCGGCGAGAGAGAACGACGTTTCGTTGAATATTCGGCACTGCTGAGATCCTCGTGTCGAGGGGTGTGCGTCTCCATCGGGGCAAACCGATATCCGGTGGTGTCGTCGATCTCGGAGCTGGTACTGCATCACGCAACTCGTCCAGATAACTGCGGCGTATGCGAGACGTGTAGTTAAGCGGAAGGGGGAGAGTGAACACATAAAACTGGGGTTCCCCGGATTCGATTTATCTCCCCTAGTTTTATCATATACGTATATTTACGAACTGTCTTTTAAATGCGGGTGTTACACAACTTATGGATTGTAAATAAAAAATACGTGAAATCAACACGATGATACGATGTGTGTGTTGTATTAGGTTAAATGTTTGTAGTGTTATGGTTTAAGCTTATTTTATTAGTTTGTTTAGTGATTTATGTACTTTCAACCTTTTTATAAATATATACCCTTAAGATCCATACATTTTATGGGAATTTATATATTATAGTAAGTTTAAGACTTAAAACTATAAACAACACAGGTTATAATTGGTGCATTGGAATAAAAACTTGTGATTTATAAGTAATAGATTGTATATATGTAAATGCGTACTTTGATCGTCTTAGAGTTAGTAGATCGATGGTAACAGAATCGTCAATGCCCATTTTTATATCTTTTTTTTTTACGATTTCGATTAATAAATTGTACTTGAAATTTTGATGATTATAAGAAACATTCGAATAACTGGAAAACAAAAGCTAAATAATTTATGTATGTGTGTACCGAAGTCCACAGACAATAGAATATTTTTTTATTTTTTCAATGTTCAACGTTAAATCAATATTTTCTGATAAGTAAACCAGTTCAATTTTTCCCAATAGTAAATATATTTACTCGATTTTTCTCATAGGACACACTAATTATACTTTTATTAACTGCTTTTTATCCCCCCCCCCCTGAAATGTATGAATCCATAAAAACTATAAAAAATACTTTATTTTCAATGTTATAAGCTTGTTTCTGGGCACCCTACAACTCATTACTTAATTATTTTGAAACATTATTGCGAATTTACTCACATAAATGTTAAATGAGTAATCCACTAATTTTGTCAGCTATTGAACATGTATGCACATATATATTATCTCGGAGCATTTAAAACACAACCCAATAAATCCTGAAGCGTTTAACCTCATAACCCGCTAACCAAGGAGTTTATAACGCCATCGACAGATATACTGTATTTGGGAGAATGAAAAGCTAACGATAAGCGAACAAGCAATGCAAATCGAAAATCGAATGCAACCCGCGCAGTGAGGGCAGCACCAGTTGCGCTCGGAGTTAATACAGGTATGTTCGGAAACCAAAATTGGGCAGCCGTACGCCACCCACGGTCTCGAAATGAACGAACGAGCGGCTTGCCGATTGCATGAGAATTCACCTTTATACAACCGTTATCTCTCACCTCCTAGACAAATCGTAACAGGTTCAAACGCCGCTCAATCTTTTAAAGTAACGAATATCGTGTTCTCGTACTTCGCGTTCTCGGTTGCCACAATTTACAATTATATAAGTACTTGCACGTGCATGCACTGTAAAATCCCAGAGAGAGATTTATTCGTATGAACAAAAAAGATTTTAGTTATTTTGACGAGGATTGAATAGAGCCCCTTTCTCAATATAATTTATTTTCGTGGTACCACAAAAGGTTGGTACAGGATCAGGTAAATACTTATTGATTTTTTCATCACCAAAGTGCTTGTTATTCATCTCTGTGGATTCTCGGTTTATTACTTACTCTTCAAGGTATTGTCAACATCGTAGTGATAGATGAAAAAAAAAGCATTGCAGTAGTACTCGAGTTACGCCTCAAAAGTACAAGAATATAATGGATACCGAAAGACAGCAGATTCGTGAGCAGCTGCTGATTCTTGTTTGGGAGGGATACGAAATTCCACTACACAAGTCGACCATCTCCAAGAGCAGCGAGTTGTCCACCAAAGCAAGAGTCGAAGGCAATAATATAATGAAGACATCAAAACACACACCCGACCAGCACTTACAACTTACTACCTTTCACGCATGCAAACTTGCAACTCGACATCTTTCATGCATTCAAACGTACAACTTGCTAGCTTTCAAGCCTGCACGCACCGTGACGTTACCGGGCTTCCGTACTTACGCGTGCTGAATTTTTACTCGCAAAGCGTAGCCTTGGCACCTCCAGGATCTCATGAATTGGCTCTTGCATATTCAAACAGATCTACTGTTTTGTTTCATTTTTACACCGACGAGCAAGTCAGCCGATGCATAAAGGACATTGACAGAGCCCTCGCAATCACAGATAATGCACCGTTAGAGGTCAAGTTGTACTGCCGCAAGGCTCGATGCTTGACTTGTAACTGGTTTGCCGGGTGCTAATGATAACTTTGAGAAAGCAGTCGATTGATGATACTGACAGCAAGAACCTGCCTCTTGCTGATTTAATTGCAACGACAAACATGGACTTGGATGCTAACGTGCAGGGCGAAAAAATGTACAACAACAGCGAGTTCAAGAGAATTTTGTTGAAAAAAGAAAAGCAGGATGTGTTTAATACTGTTGAGATGAAATATATCCAAGAGCACGGTAGGCATTTGGTGGCTTCCAGGGACATGAAACCTGGTGATGTCATCATGGTGGAGAAGCCATACGCCGTATTTTCCAACACTGAGAAAATTTTTTACTGCTCTCATTGTCTGGCCCTGGCACCGACAGGCATACCTTGCGATTTTTGCAATTGGAGCATGTTCTGTTCTGAAAAGTGTAAGAAAGAAGCTTGGGAAAAGTATCACGAGTGAGAGTGTCTCATCATACCTCATGTCGACACATTTAATACCTTATGATTCGCTGTTAGGCTCTTCTTAATGATGATCAAAGAGGCTGGCAGTATAGATAAACTCAAGTCGGAATTGAAGATCATTGATGCCGATGAAAGTAAGTAAATAATTTTTTTGTTTATCCTAATTTTTAATTAACACCACAAAATTTGTTAATAATTTTTTATTTCAGTCAAATTCAAAAGGTGCTATTCTACAACTAAGCTTGACAACATGATTAAGTTCATTTACACCTTATCTAGCAGCTTTGTCTCAGAAGATATAACTATCCTCTCAAGAGCCTGTGCAACATATTTGCATTTCGTCATTCAATTTCCACCATTTAATAGTAAAGTAGATTTTGTTGATGCAAAACTTGAAAATTTAGTTAAAAATGAAGACTGTTGTTTATTGGAGCTTTACTATTGAGCTGACAAAAATTGCTCATTCAAATAAGTATTTGGTAAGCATGACATTTTGTTAACATCAATAAAATTCAGTAAGTCATATTAAACACCATTTGTTTTGAATAGGTTCAAAGTAATTTGTTTTCGGCTGAGAAGATCCATACATCAACCGCATCGAGTACGGTTTTAAGTATGGTGAACGCATACTCCAAAGGCTTTGCTTTGCCAATCATAAACAATTATTGCTTGCGTGCTAATTCACACAAGTTTTACATAGAAGGTTCAAAAGCAGTTATCTATGCAGCAGAACCCATAAAAAAGAATAGTCAAGTACGAGTTTCAATTCATAATTTCCTTGTTGTCTTCACAAGTTGGCTCCTATTAGCTGCTATACGTAACCGCATGAATCTAATAGAAACATGTTCTTTCAGATATTTATTGACTACTTTGGTCAATATTATTGTAGAAACCCTCTCTACACGAAAGATCACGTTGCAGCAGCCTTTGGTTTTCATTGCAATTGCAGAGAATGTCAAAATTCATACACCGACTCTCAATCGGTAAGATAAATACTGCAGCACTTGTAAAATATTTTGCGATAAACTAATTTTGACATATAATTTTTCTTAGCCTTGTGGTACGCCAAATGTGACAGTAATGCGCTTGATCGATAGCAAGAAGGATTATTGGATACCCACCCTAACGCTTGCGAGTCACACACATCAAGATTTTCAAAGGACAATAAAGGAGTTGCAAAAAGATGTTGAAAAATTGCCTGAGAACTCAAAGAGTAAAACTTCAAATCTAAGGACACTAATGGCACTTGCGTATAAAGCAGAATATGGTAAAAGTGAAGAAGCTTTTTCTGTGTCATGTTGTAGATAAAGCTTTTTTAATTATTTTAAAGCTAATTTTTTCATTCTACGGCTTTTTGTAATTAAATGCACACTTGCATTATTTCATTATTATAATTAATACAACATAAACAATTGCATGAACCTTTGAACGTCACGTACACGTTATACATATTATATTAGTAACGTACTTAATGCATGAAAGTAAGAGTCTAACTTATTGTTAAAAAACTGGATTCGCTAAAAAAAGCGTATGAATTTATAGTATAAATATATTGTGTTATATAATATATCATTCACCTACGTGCCTCTTTCAAAAAAGCATACCACTTCAGTGCCATTAGTAAATGCCAGGGGCACTTAAAATTAAATGTTCGTCCACAGTTTGATGATTATATAACTTCCACGCTCTGCAACAGAACAAATAGAAGCTACATGCATATGAGATATCTACTATTGACTAGAAATGACGTCAGTACAAATTTTTAATATTAATAATTTTAATGTAAAATCATACATTGAAACTATAACATCAAATTTTATTTTGGAGATCCAGCTTGTCCGCTCTTATAAAGTATGGGACACATGTCGGTTTTTAAGAAATAGTTTAAACGAGTAACTGATTTTTTTTTTTTTAATTATACAACAGCTCAAAAGAAAAGGCTTTTAAACATAGTTGTAACTTTATTTTTCAATACACTCCAAATGTTCTTAAACTTATTAGATCATATCTATAAAAAAAATAATTAAAAAATTTATAATTTGTTTTTATCTATTCGTAACTCAAGTTATACAATTTATAATCAGTTTTCAAATTAAGTTGCATTGCACACTTATTAAACATATTTACAGCATTAAATGTATACACTTCTTAAAATTTATTAAGTTTTTCTTGTACTCAAATGTTCTAAATGCACAGTTCATGCTAATCCTTATTCTTTTGAAACACAAAAACCGAATAAAGCGCTAAAAGAAAATAAAA